GCCCTATTGTTAAGAATAGAGAATTACTATTCTCATTAACAGCATTTAACCAACCAGGCAACCATATACTTCGCCCCGCATTGAAGGCCGGACTAGTCGTTGAAGATAAAAGTACATCGAACCCATAGGAAGTTTTACCATGAGCAGATTGTATCCATTGGGCAAATATGGGTTCGATCAAGATTTGTTTCTCTGGCGTGCCAAAAGCAAGCATGACATCATTATGGACATAAAGTCCCAAAGTATGGAATCCCAGAAAGAGGCTGGCCCAACTTAAATGGGATATGATAGCTTCCTTGTGGTCTAACATTCTTGCCAATACATTATCTGCATTCTGTTCTGGATTGTAATCTCGAATAAAAAAGATAGCTCCATGAGCAAAAGCTCCTGTCATAATGAATCCTGCGATGTATTGATGATGAGTATATAAGGCAGCTTGAGTAGTAAAGTCTTGCGCTATAAACGCATAAGCGGGTAAAGAGTACATGTGTTGAGCTACCAAAGAAGTAATAACCCCTAAAGAGGCTAGAGCAAGGCCCAGTTGAAAATGAATTGAATTATTGATTGTGTCATAAAGACCCCTATGTCCACGACCTAATCTACCCCCCGGAGGAATATGTGCTTCTAAAAGATCTTTTATACTGTGCCCAATCCCGAAATTAGTTCTATACATATGACCAGCAATGAGAAAAAGAAATGCAATAGCTAAATGATGATGGGCAATATCGGTTAGCCATAAACTTTGCGTTTGCGGATGAAATCCCCCGAGAAGTGTTAAAATGGCAGTTCCCGCTCCTTGGGAGGTACCAAATAAATGACTACTCGAATCGGGGTTTTGAGCATAAAGATTCCACTGACCCGTAAAAAGTGGACCTAATCCTTCGGGGTGTGGCAATACACTTAAGAAATTATTCCATCGAACATATTCTCCCCTGGATCCCGGAATAGCGACATGGACTAAATGTCCTGTCCAAGCCAAGGAACTGACTCCGAATAGTCCTGATAAATGATGATTGAGGCGGGATTCGGCATTTTTAAACCACGAAACGCTCGGTTTCCATTTCGGTTGTAGGTGTAACCAGCCCGCTATTAAAGATATAGCAGAAAGAAATAATAGAAAAAGAGCTCCAGTATAAAGATCCCCATTAGTACGTAAACCAATGGTATACCACCACTGATAAACACCGGAATAGGCGATATTCAGCTCCCCTTGTTTCCATTCCTTTCATTTATTGTTGCTTTGGGTTGTATACTTTATATTAGGGGATTAGAACTCGATCTTATTCACTTACCCGATATGCCAATCATGATTGAGTCTGAATAGAGTTGGGTCTCTTCGGGTCTAGGGTTGGGTTCGAGTTAAAAAAAATAGACGTAATCAATATTTAGGGTCGGGTAGGGGACCAAACATGACCTGTCCCGACCCGTCTCGTGGTCACTCACTCATGATGTTTGTATGTATTTCTGTTCAAATGTATACAGAGTAATGATACCTTTTTGGTCGAAAATATCATTGATTCTTTAATTTTTCATTATATATATATGTTTAATAATATATACATACATTATTTTATACGTCAAATTATATATTCACAATAATAAATAATTTTTAGAAGACTTTATGTAAAATGTTTATACGTTATATTTAATCGGGTCTAGGGTTGGGTTCAGGTTTAAAGACTGGTCCTGTGAATATTTAGGGTCAGATTAACTATAGATCTAGGGTCGAGTCCGAGTTCAAAAAAATGATCCGACTGACATTTAGGGTTAGGTAAGGACAAAACTTAATCCGTTCCAATCCGGCCCACACTCAACCCTATTTTATATATATATATATATATATATATATATATATATATAGAAGAAACATACCTAAATAATAAAACAGAAAAATATTATATTTATGTTTAGTGAGTGTGAGTTTTTTATACCATCACTATATTATTCATTTTTATCATTATTAACTCTTAATAATAAAAATATAAGGATAATGAAGGCATTCCCTCTATATAAATTTTTATACATAGAATATATAAAATACATTCCATCATTACAATGTGTCTCAGAATATTTTTCCTAGATATGGTATGATTAACTGGCTGTGGAATATTAATTGGGCTGCCTATTTAGGTAGCTTCCTAAGTTCCTATCAAATTTATTTCTATGAACTTTTTTTGAGAGAAAAAATATATGTAATGAAATTGTATAACTTTTATACATTATCACTATTATAATCAATTATATTTAATTATTACTCTTTAAAAAATTAATCTAAATGAATGATAAATAATATGATAGTTGTGTATAAATCTTTCCTCATATATTACTTTTTTTAATACCTATACTTCTATACTATATATAAAGCCAAAACATGAAATAACTACATTCATGATATAATTTATATTTTCCTTTTTTGCCCTTACATTTTTTAATTTCTACAAAAAAACCATATAATTATAAGTAACTACCATTAGCACATTAATCACATATCTCACATTAAATTAAATTATAATAAATATATTTTTTAACATAAAATACTCTTAATACAAAAACATTCTAAATGTATAAAATAAAATATATAAAATATAAATACTTAATATAATAAATACTTTCTCTCTCTATCTGGGTATCTCCTTTCGTTAATTTTCCTAAGCAGCATTCAACCCACTAAGAGAAACCAAATCAATTTAAGGATAGGGAAAAACATAATAGAACAAATTTTGAGGTGTTAACGAGCCCATAAAAAAATTACCTTAACCGATTTTGCCCCATTATTTGCTTCTTCAGCTTAATTTGTTCATGTGAGTGCCCCAACAAAGAAGAGGTACCGCATATTGCCTTATTTCCTGTTTCATGCGACGTCGTTTCACTCTTTGGCCAAATGCATTGATCTAAATGCCATTTTTTTAATAAAATAACAACCTTGCGCTTTTTTATTCGCTTTGTATTTTGATTGGGTTACACAATGAATGCATTTTTTAAAATAAAAAAATAACATTTTCACTACAAAAATACGAGGTTGCGCTTTTATGACACTATAGTTAATGTTTGTGGTTATGGTTATGGAACTAGGTGGAAGTGATTTTAATGTTGCATACCCACCAATCAATATCTTTTACTAAAACTTTAATTTCTCCCAATCTTATTATTCTTTCCATGTTCAGAGTTGCAATTACCACTCTTCTTTTTTTATCATTCTGTTCTTACATATGCATTTCAATATTGGGGTCCGCGATGGATCTGGTAGGGTGAATAAATTAAAGACCCATGTTTTTTTTATTGTCTGAAATGCAAGTTTGTTCTGTTTAATGTTTACTGATTTGTTTTTTTATAACTTGCTCTAGTTACTGTTCTGTAATGGTATCTTTATATGTATGTTATATTTTATGTTAGGTTTGTATTTGCTCAACTAGAAGAGGATTCATCCAATGATGTTTTCCACAAAATTCTGAATAATGTTGGAATAATAAGCCTTTATTGGTTTCTTGGTGCATTCATAAAGTATTTGCAGTTTTGCACATTGAATTATCTACTTGTTGTTCATAAAATGTCAAGGCCTTTGTACCGAGGTGTTTCAGGGATTCGGATCCCTGAAAGCAGCTATGATTATACATTGGACTCAGATTCACTATATAAAGATAAACCAGATAAGGAAGATTTTGATAAAAGGGTTTTTTCAAATCATAACAGCCCTTTACTAAAGCCCTTGAGGTTACTTTTTTCACCCGGTTCTCATTCTAA